CAGAGTTGCAGTCAAATCGTGATGAGCTGTTGTGGGGGATGGGCGCTGGGCCTGGGTCCACCTGACGGAAGGAAACAAGGTTTCATCCTGGAGGCCGAGGGAGAGACACACAGAGCCAGCTCCCAGCCCAGCTCTGCCTTCAATTGAAGGATGGCTTTGGGTGGGCAGTGACTGACCCCTCAGGACCTCAGTGTCTCTGCATGCACAATGAAGAGGGGGTTTCCATATGAGTCTCACCCTACTAGACCACAGGCCACAGATGGCCCTGTAAATGGACTTTGTTCAGATAACACATTCAAGAGTTTTCTTTTTTTTTTTTGAGACGGAGTCTCACTCTGTTGCCCAAGTTAGAGTGCAGTGGTGTGATCTTGGCTCATTGCAACCTCTGCCTCCTGGCTTCAAGCAATTCTTCTGCCTCAGCCTCTTGAGTAGCTCAGACTACAGGTGTGCGCCACCACACCCAGCTAGTTTTTGTATTTTTAGTAGAGTTGGAGTTTCACCATGTTGGCCAGGTTGGTCTCGAACTCCTGACTTCAAGTGATCTGCCTGCCTCAGCCTCCCAACCTGCTGGGATTATGGGTGTGAGCCACTGTGCCCAGCCAGAGACTGGAAACTTTACCCCACCTTGTGCCATCCCTTGGCCACCCCATTCCATGAGTTTTTCAAGGGGGCCTCTGTCCCACGCCCTCATCTTCCCACAGGGACTAACCATGGTAGTGGTGGTAGAGAGTCACTTACATGGCTCTGGTTTCCTGATGTCCTCTCGTGGCTAAGGATGTCATGGGCAGCACTCAGCATCACCACATAAGAGAAGTTGTTGCAAAGGCCCAGCAGCCTGGAAGGAGCAGGACAGGTCTCAGCTCCCTCCTGATCCTGCAGCCTTCTGTAGCCTTTGTGCCAAACCTCCCCTTACCTGTGCCCTTCAATCAGCTCTTTTTTTTTCCCTCTATCACCAGATCCCATCTTCATTCAGTGTTGGGGTCAGAAATACAGGCTTTGGTGCTTGGGCAAGACAGTGAGACCCCCATCTCTACAAAAAATTAAAAAATTAGCCAGGTGTGGTGGCTCAAACTGTAGTCCCAGCTACTTGGGCGGCTGAGGTGGAGGATTGCTTGAGTCCAGGAGTTAGAGGCTGCAGTGAACTGTGATCAAGCCACTGCACTCCAGCCTGGGTGACAGAGCAAGACCCTGTTACAAAAATAAAAAATAAAAAGGAAGAGGCCGGGTACGGTGGCTCACACCTGTAATCCCAGCACTTTGAGGGGCCAAGGTAGGCGGATCACCTGAGGTCGGGAGTTTGAGACCAGCCTGACCAACATGGAGAAACTCCGTCTCTACTAAAAAATATGAAATTAGCTGGGAGAAGTGGCACATGCCTGTAATCCTAGCTACTCGGGAGGCTGCGGCAGGAGAACCACTTGAACCTGAAAGGCAGAGTTTGCGGTGAGCCGAGATTGCACCATTGCACTCCAGTCTGGGTTACAAGAGTGAGACTCCATCTCAAAAAAAAAAAAAAAAAGAAAAAAAAGAGGAAGAAATAGGGGCTTTGGGATCACAGAGTTGGATTCACTTCCAGCCTCCCAGGCCTCTCCCAGAAGCTCTCCATGACCACTCTCTCCTCTGAGCTCCCACTGTGACTCAGTTCCTGGGGCATTTCTCATCCTCTGATGCACTGCAGTACAGTAAAAAAAAAAAAAAATCCTGGGGAAGTTGGGCGCGGTGGCTCACACCTGTAATCCCAGCACTTTGGGAGGCTGAGGCCGGTAGATCACTTGAGGCCAGGAGTTCGAGATCATCCTAGCCAACATGACAAAATCCCGTCTATACTGGAAATACAAAAATCAGTTGGGCGTGGTGGCTCACGCCTGTAATCCCAGCTACTTCAAAGGGTGAGGCACAAGAATCGCCTGAATTGGGAGGCGGAGGTTGCAGTAAGCCAAGATTCTGCTTTTTTGAGACTCTATCTCAAAAAAAAAAAAAAATCCTGGGGCTCGAAACCAAAAGGACTGTGTTCAAGCCCCAAGTCTGCTGTTTAGTAGTCTCAGTCTACTCATGTGCAAAATAGGGATACAAATTTATCTCCTGACTATCCCTCCCACAGAATGCTATATGGATCAAAACAAGATAAGACTAAAGGCCTTTAGGATTTAGGAAGGGTTCTGTTTGTTTACTCTCATCTCCCAGAGTTGCACTCAGTGATGGGGTCCGGTGCCAGAGATTTCATTAGGGGCCTTTTCAAAAGACTTCGAAGTAGAACTACAATACTACTCTTCCCATTTGACTGTAGAGGAACCAGGGTCAGAGAGGTTAAGTGACTCTTCCAAACAGTACATGGGAAGCCACTTCTAACCCAGTCCGGAAGTGGGTGGAAGTTCCAAGTCCTCAATGTTTAGGTTAATGCTAGAAGTATTTCCGGAGGCTTGGTATTTGTATGATTTTAGAAGGTATATGGATGACCTTTTAAAAAGTTTCAGGGCAGGGCACGGTGGCTCACACCTGTAATCCCAGCACTGTGGGAGGTGGAGGCAAGCGGATCACCTAAGGTCAGGAGTTCCAGACCAGCCTGACCAGCATGGTGAAATCCCATCTCTACTAAAAATACAAAAAATTAGCTGTGTCTGGTGACGCGTGCCTGTAATCCCAGCTATTCAGGGGGCTGAGACAGGAGAATCGCTTGAACCTGGGAGGCAGAGGTTTTGGTGAGCCGAGATCGTGCCCCTGCTCTCTAGCCTGGGTGACAGAGTGAGACTCTGTCTCAAAAATAAAATTAAATGAAAAAAAGGTTCAGGCCCGGCATGGTGGCTCATGCTTGCAATCTCAGTACTTTGGAAGGTTGAGGTAGGAGGATCACTTGAGGCCACGAGTTTGAGACCAGCCCAGGTCCCATAGTGAGACCCCATCTCTATAAAAAAATTAAAAAATTAGCCAGGTGAGGTGGTGCACGCCTGTAGTTACAGCTACCTGGAGGCTGAGGTGGGAGGATCACTTGAGCCCAGGAGTTCTAGGCTGCAGTGAGCTGTGATTGCTTCACTGCATTCCAACCTGGGCAACAGAGCAAGACCCTGTCTCAGAAAGAAAAAGAATAAGATAAAATAAATTTAAAAAATAAAAGTTTTAGTAGTGATGCATTTATTTAAACGTTCATTAGGAAAATGCTGGTTTTCCATGTGGAGTCGTGATTTAAAGTTTTCTTTTAAAAAATATGTGCATTAAAAAACTTTAAGGCTGAATTGGTTGAAGGAAAAAAGTAAATAATCCTACAGATGGTATGAGGATCTGGCTAAATCCCGAAGGTGATAAGGAGTGAAGTTTGGAAATTTTACATGCTGCCCCCGGGCAAACCAGTGGATTCAGTAAATATTTGTGGGTTCAGCTCCTTTGCGCAGCTTAACTCCTTCTTCCCCCTTTCCTCCTGTCACTTCCTTCTTCCCACACCATTGTCACTTGCTGAACTCTCAGGCCACTCACCAGAAGCCCACCGCGTTCTTCCAGTGCGCGCCCTGATGGTCCAATAGAGGGAGCCGTGGCTCCGGGACGGTCTCCTCACCTGGGAGAGCGAGAAGAGGGCATGACCCCCACCCACTCTCTGGCGCACGACGGCCCCATGCGTGTCCTCCCGGGGCCGAGTCAGTTCTCACTCCCCTCAGGTGGGCTGCGAGCCAGAGGTGGTCGCTCCAAGAGGGTGGGCCGGATTACTCACCCTCGGAATCCGAAAGGCGCCGCCGCGAGCCCGCACAGCCTCCCATCGCATCAAGTTCAGGTCCCCCAAGGGTCCAGGGTCATAGAGTGTCCAAAAGGGGCTCCCACGGGAGGGATGAGGGTCTGCGACAGGCGACAAGGATCAACGCTCGACTGTCGGTCCCAGCTCCGGCTTGTCTGGGGCACTCGCGCCCCGCGATCCATCAAGGAAGCTGGGGGCTCCATCTCGAGCGCCCTACGACCCACCACGCCCCACCCATCGCACTCTGCCCCCGCCCCGTCTACAGCAGGGACCCTGCGGCCTGTACCTTTAAGAGCAGCAGAACATTCTGCACTTTGCAGAGGCCGGCTGTCGGATCACGTGACAGCACACGCGTGTTCCCCCATCACGTGCTCAGAGGTTTTCCCTACTTCCGGGTCCTCTCTATCTTCGCTTTGGGCCTTCTCGGCTTCGGAGCGTGAGAAAGGGAGGGGCCGGAGAACCTTGGAACCGCAGGTTTTAGACTGGAGCGGGTGGGAGCAGCAAGCAGAGCTATGACCTTAGATCAGTGGCGCTCAAGACCGAGACGGTATCCTGCCAGGACCAGTTATGGCTGTGGGAGGCTTCAGTTCCTTTCCTTCAGCACTCACTTGCCAGAAACAAATATGGACCTGCCTACTCCTCCCTTTTTTTTTTTTTT